AATGTTAACATTCACAGTACTGTTCATTAATAGATCAACTAACATTAGTATACACTGATGTCAACATTCATATAAATCTGTAATAAGTCTGATGTGAGCATTCACATCAGTCTGATGTTAACATTTCTGTCATCAGTGTATAATGATGTGAACATTCACATCAGTGTATGATGATGTAAACATTCACATTGATATTAACAAGATGTTAACATTAAGCAAGCATCAAAGTAAAATGAGAACATTAACAATCTTCACATAATTATTAACAATCTTCACAGAGCCTCATTAAGCAAACATCAATTTAAAATGAGAACATCCACATTCTTCACATATTCCCCATTCACAAAATGTGCAGATTGACATTGATATATATACTGATAATCAAATCATCCACACCGAGCCTCATTACGCATGCATCGAAGTCAAATGAGAACTACACAATCTTCACATAATACGAATGAACTCCCCTCCACATAACCACGTAAAATGCATATAATTGAAAAAACAGAGCATTCAATCCTACAATCGTACAGAAAGTTGAAAAAAACTGATTTGAACTAGTTATAATCCGGCAAATGTAACAACCGACCACCCTCCTCTTCGTCGTCTTCACTCGCAAAGCACAGAACCAGCCTCCAACAGCAAGGATGAAACCCTGGCACAACCAATCCTTGCAACGAGCATGCAAAACATAAACGTAACTCTCGGAATTGGATTGATGATGAAAAGCGTAAAATAGAAACTGCCAAACTGCATGAACGAAGAAACAGGCACCTATTACGTATTAACACTGTACATATATATATACAGGGGCAAAATAGTCCAAAAAATTATATTAAATTAGAAAAATGGACTTTATGGAATATCCAGAAAAGTTTATGGGACTAATTAGGTTATAATATACTTTAGTGGACCTAATGGGTTATAACAACTCTAGAATGGATTTATCAATAAAAATCTCTATATATATATATGAAACTTTTTGAATATATATATATATATATATTATACTAATTTGAATAGTTTAATAAATAAAGGAAGATGTACAAATTTTAGAAAACCACTTAGGAATCCAAAATTTAAATTTTAGAATTAAATTAAATTCTCACAATTACAAATTTTAAGAAACCACTCAAGAACCCAAAATTTGAATTTAGAATTAAATTAAATTCCCACAATAATTTTTATTGAAAAAATTCAAATGAATTTTATCTAAAAAATTAATGTTAGACTCGAAACACGACGTCAACTTCCCATTCACTCATAAATAGTTTTAACGTTCTGTCTTCATCTCTTCAGACCCACAGAACTGTTGTTAAACATATTTATCATTGTTAAAACAGTTCTGATTATAATTTATAAGTAGTTTGAATCTACCAGAAATTAATTTATTTTTGATTGGTTACTTTGGTAACTACTTTCATACATATTTGAAATTTTGTGAAACGATATGTTAGTTCAGAATTTATATCTGTTTATTATTATTTGTGTGTTATAAAAAATATTATGTAAGAAAGTCAGGCTGCTGTTGAAACAAGGAAGTCAATTGAATAAAAAAATAGATGAGAAGAAAAGTAAGTATTAAAAAATTCGGTGCTGATTGAGGGCCCGTAATTTCGGGGCTCGAATGCCCCGAAATTCCATTTTAGGTAAAAAAAAAAAAAGGAAAAAAGAAAGAAAAAAAGAAAACAGTTTCCAAAATTAGAAATTAGGGATATTAGGGGCAATTTTTTTAGGGCCACCAATCATTTTCCTAAAAAATTAAATGAAAAGAAAAACAATGAAAGCAAGCATTAAAAAAATAATCCAAAAAGAAAAGCAATAAAGTCAATGAAAGATTAATTACAAAAAAAAATGGAAGTGAGAAATAAGATGTGGCAGTGAAAAGTGGAGGTGAAAAATTAGATGTGGTTGTGGAGGTGTAAATGAAAAAATAAGGTAAGTAAAAGATAGGGTTTAGAGTTAATTAAAAAGGGTGGGTGAGAGTTTTTTTTTTTAAATTAGAAAATTAAGAAATTAAGATTGGAATATTAAGGTTCCCACAAGATTTGTGGGTTAAAGAGTATATTTTTCTTATATAATAGATGTAGTATAATTTTTTTCAAAGCTATGCTAAAATCTGGACTTTATAAAAAAAAATTATAAAATAAAAACTAAAATTTAAGAAATATGTATAAAATAAAAAATAAAGTGTAATCAATTTTTCAACAGAAATTTATAATACAAAAATGGGCCATTTTTCTGAACGTAAAAAGTGCACAAGTGTTTATATACGTGCACAAGTTTTTTTTTTTGAACGGGATATACGTGCACAAGTTTACCTCATAAGCATTAACTAATGTATATGACGGTGACTGTGACGGTTAACGGCGAAGATGATAACGATTGCTCCACGAGCACGCCACGTTACCAATTTTCCTAACGGCCCAAACCATGCCACGTCATCACAACGCAGTCACACTTCACCACATTCGCAGCAAAGACTAAAATACAAAATTCCAAACATACCCTTATATCATCACCATTATTACCCAATTCAGCCCCATAGTGATAAAAAATTATTAATCAAACTTAGAGTGCCAACCTTAGAGTGCCGCGTGACCATACTTTATACCAATCATAATTTATTATGATTTTTTATATTTTTTAATCACTCAATATAAATTTATAGGTATCAGCTGCAGAGTCTACACTTATATGAGACATTTAATAATTTATTTAATAAAAAATTTAATATTATTACCATTCTCAAATTATTCACTACAAAATTCTTTCACTAATCACAATAAATATAAAACATTATCCGATACTGTCCTAAACCAATCAATAACTTTCTCTCTATTAGAATACCATTGGGCACCACATAGTGATCAATCTAGTAACATATTTCAAAAATAATATATTTTTCTAATTTAATAGATTTAAAAAAATACTAATGACATAAAAAATAAAAAAAAATCAAAATCAAAACATTGCATCTCATAAAATCCACGGATCAATCAATTAGAACTATAGAATAAAGAGTCCCCATTCTTTTTTTTTCCCAAACATATTTAGCCCTTTTCCGTCTTTTCAACACCCAATCACGCTCTCTATCGACACAACCACACTCTCTCTCTCACTAAGCATCGCATAGCAGCTATGGCGACTGGTTTGGTCCGGAGAGCGATTTCTAGGGTTCACAATTCGCCTGCTGCGAAGCTAGGATGTATTCGAGCACACGCTTCGGAAGCCCAAGCCCAACAGGTCGAACAGAAAGCTCGACCTGTCTCCAACCTCAAGACCTTCCAAATCTACCGGTGGAGCCCCGACAACCCGAAGAAGCCGGAGCTCCAGGACTACCAGATCGACCTCAAGGACTGTGGTCCAATGGTCCTCGACGCCCTCATCAAGATCAAGAACGAGTTCGACCCTACCCTCACCTTCCGGAGATCTTGCCGCGAGGGAATCTGTGGATCCTGCGCGATGAACATCGACGGCTGTAATGGCTTGGCTTGCCTCACCAAGATCGAATCTGGGTCGTCGTCGACGATCACGCCTTTGCCCCACATGTTCGTGATCAAGGATTTGGTTGTGGATATGACTAATTTCTATAACCAGTATAAGAGTATTGAGCCATGGTTGAAGCGGAAGAACCCGCCTCCGGTGCCTGGGAAGGAGGTTCCGCAGAGCAAGAAAGATAGGGAAAAGCTTGATGGGATGTATGAATGTATATTGTGCGCCTGCTGTAGCACATCATGCCCCAGCTACTGGTGGAACCCTGAATCTTATCTTGGTCCTGCAGCTCTTCTCCATGCTAATCGGTAATGTTTTCAATCTTCAAATCCCTAACTTTTTATATTGTAAAGCACCCAAGTGATGAAATTCAAGAAGGGTATGTAAACATTGTTGAATCCCCAAAAGTTGTTTACACTTACTTCTTGAAAGAAAATTGGTCTAATTAGTAGTTATTGTTTTTTTAATAAAAGAAACTTGACCTTTGGTGTGTCTTCATCCAATTGATTTGTGTTTTAAGTGTATGTTAGCACCTGTTAAATATATCAAGTAAAGGTAGGGAATGAAGGATTGTAGTGAAATATTATTGATTTATAGAGCGAGACTGCGAAAATGATTGCTTTTTTAGGTTCAAGAAAGATTCTTGGAATGATTTATCAGAACCTAAATGGTAAATTATGCTAGTTATTATTCAGTGCATTTTAGGTGCTACTTAGTAGGAGTATGTTGTTACTCGTTATACATGTGTAAGTTTAGGGTGGGGAATGGAAAATTGTAGTCAAGATGAGAGTGATTTACAATACGAGAATAATTAGATTTTTAGTAGTTCAAGACTAGAGTGATGATCAATGCGACTATGGAAACATGTGGAAGTTTGCAAACCTTATTAGAAGTGGTGCTTGCTTGTTGCAATGAAACCTTCATGCGGTCCCCCTTTCACTTGACATGGTCACATAAGGTGGTGAATATGATGGTCTACCATGTGGACCTTGATTGCATCAATACCAGATACACATTCATCAAAGCAGTGTACAAAATCAAAAGTTTGGGAAACTAGTTGAAGTTCTTATAGTATCATATGAAATTAGGAAATTCAAGTCTACAGAGGTGTACTGCATGGATGAAGTGAAATTCATTTCATCTCTTTTGTTTATATAGTGGAGTTCAACTGCACTGTGCTTAATGGAACTAAAATTTTAATTTCTCTATTACATATATTGTTCAGTTCAATGGTTCACTTTAGTGGCTTCTATTTCATTCAAGAGTTGCACTCATTCTTATAACCTGTTATGTTCCTTTCTATCTCAAGCACAGTTCTCTTGAATTGTATTTTCATGCTGTTATTGAAATTGCAAGGCCATTTAAAAATGGAAATTTATTTTGTTGATGGCTGAGAGATGTTATTGTTTTTAAATGCTGCTGGTATGATGTTCATCTTATGCTTGAATTTTTGTTGGTATGTGCAGGTGGATAATGGACAGCCGTGATGAATACACAACAGAGCGCCTTGACGCAATATGCGACGAGTTTAAGCTATACCGCTGCCATACAATATTGAATTGTGCCCGTGCTTGCCCAAAAGGTCTGAATCCTGGAAAGCAAATTACAAACATCAAACAGCTTCAGCTTGCAAAGGGTATCTAAGACGTGTGATGATGTGCATTAATCTCTTATCCAGGGATTAATGTGAAGAGCTATTATTTGTTCAAGTGAATAATGTGTGTACTGATTGTTATAATCCATTCTTCGGATCTTTATTGTACTTTTTGGGACCATGGTCCTTTGTTTTGAATAATTTTTCATAGAAGTGCCTTATTCTATTGTCACTTGGATTGTGTTTTAATCTACTTTCATTGACAATATATGCAGTATGATCAGCCTGTAGTCGTAAAAAAAAAATGAAGATTATGGTCTTGGATTTGTGGAGGCATTTGTGAAAAAGAAAAAAGAAAAGAGAAAAAAAAAAAAAATAGCAATTGGACATTGTAATGATACGAACATAAACATCTTGAGAAGAATGTCTGACTACAGCTATTTATGGAAGATAGTAGGACTGATTGTAGTATTAGTCTGACGGTTCTTTGTTTAGACCTTAAAGTTGTTTCTGTGACTTAGATCACAGGAAAGTGTTATGAAGATGCAGGAACATCAATTTGCATGTTGCTTGCTCTATGCTTTCGCTTCCCATATTGTGGGAGTGTAAGACGAAATCTTCAAATTAGTTGATAAAAACTCATTGAAAATTAAAATTTGGGAGAGAGTGATATCCAATGATTCCTAGGGTCAAATATTTGGGAGCACGCTTCATTGGGGAGCTTCTAAATACATCCACCAATAAGGTACCAGATTTACAATGCATATAGCGGTAGTGAGTGTAGAGAAAATAGATTTACAATGCATATAGTGGGTGTATTTACAAGCTACCCCTTCATTGGGCCCACAAAATCAGCATACTCATATACTTGGTATGAACCTTTTATTTATGCCCTGCATGATGTAAGAGAATGTTGAAACTATCTGTATATAAATCTTATATTCACACACTCAATGGATGATTCCTTCACACAATTATTGGAAATTCTAACCCTAAATGCTGTGTTTGGTTGGGAGATTTGGGGAGAGATTTGGAAAGAGAAATGGAAAAAGTAGGTGAAATGTGAATAAATCATACCTATATTTCACATAGTTTCACACACCTTTTCCCTTTCTTTTTCCAAATCCCTCTCCAAATCCCCCAACCAAACACAGCATAAGGACCACAAATGCATACATAAAGCAGATATCTATTGTTTTCAGAATCACGTCAAATGGGTTGGATTTTCTCAACTGTGAAGAAGACCCTTATATATATAAACCAACAGGAATGAGAGATGTACACCAACAAAGCATCTATCCCATTAAGTGCATATTGGTAGGATGAAGTTGTTACAAGTAGTAGCTTGTTGTTTGGTTTCTACAATTTTTGTTCGTGTTAGGATCGGTGTTGTTCAAGCAAGCACTCGCATCCCAATTCTTATAAACCCTCAAACTCTTGAACCACCACAATACATCACTGTAACAGGTGACAAGAACAAAACCCGTTTCAGATTCAACCATAAAATTTAATTGTCCAAAACTTTTAAAATGCACCCAACATATTTGGAGAAAAACTAATGCAGATTAGGAAAGGAAAAAGAAATTATTATTTTTTAAAAAAAAAAATTCACAAGGTTAAAAGTGATAATGATGATGTTCTTGTGTTGTGGTAGGATGCAGCAATAACTGCGACATAGCTTGCTGTTACTGTGATATCAAGAAACAGCCACCTATTTGCATACGATGCTGCGAAGAGGGAGATTGACCTGAAGGCTGCAGGTATGTATTGTTTCCTATACATTTAGGGGTACCTTGGAGCTTAATTTCAATTGTAATTCATGTAACTTTGTTTTTTTCCCCCTCAAATAAATGTGTAAGGTTTTTCTTTCTTTCCTCAAATTTTGTTCTTAACATATATATTCAGTTCTATGTAGTAAGTTCTAGGACGACAATAGTGATGAGTATAATGTATCTATATCATGGCATTTCAAATATCCATCTTTGCATTTCTCTTTACCATCAAGTAGAAGAAGGGTTTTTAGTATATCCAAGTTTTAAGACTAATGCTTCGATTGATGTCATCTACATTTATGATATATCCACCACAAGTTATCACAAAATTGGCAAGCGTCAAATGAGAAGAAATGCTATAAAACTAAAAAACACCAAATTAAAGCAAAGGAAAAAGCTAGATCTACCACGTTATTACTTGAACAAACGTGAAAAATATACAGATTTCAAGGCCTCCTCGAAAGTCCAAGCAATACAGTTGAGATTTGTACCTAAAGATCAACAATATTGACAACATGACCACCTTCAACCAGACCCCATCAGACGACCTGCACCAAAAATTCAAGAAAACACTTGAAACTAAAGGGAACTGACTCAACTCAAAAGAAGACGTCCCAATGTGGTACATGAAAACTTGAATTTTTGACAGATAGCACACCTCCACGCAAGTTTTTTTGTCCAAGAAACAAACAAATAGGAGAGAGCAGGGTTACTAACAGTAACAAGCACCTGCAAATCATCTTCAAGTCTAATCAACCCAATGGCCTCCTCAATCTGCAATCTTCCTCGGAAGATTCCAATAGAATCAATATCTGCCAATTCACAGTTATCAGTCTTCTAGAGAAAGATATCAATGGAACAGAGAAAATTAACCTCTTAAAGTTATTAAGTTTGCATACCAAGGAGAGAAGACAAAAATCTTGATGGAACTTCTTAATCAGATGTTCAGTTATCTTGGCCCAACTGAGTGGAACTCTTTCAAGTTTCATCATAAAGGCGTTGTAAATGGTCTGTTTGTTACTAACACATATACAGACACACACAAAAACAGCAAATCAATATTGGAAAATTTGAAGGAAAAAAAAAAATCCGAAATTTACACAAAAACACAAAATTATACTCAAAGGTACTAAAGGGTTTATTGAATTGAATCCAGTGGTTTTTCTCATAACAGAAGTGGCCTTCTGCTACACACAACACACACAGATCAAAAAATGTTTCTCCGCAAACTCAGAACAGTTACAGACTCGACGGTAATGGATTTGTTGGGCTTGGGCTCAACTCATTATATAGGTTATTCAGCCTGCGGACCTATTATAGAGGAAGACAGGTTCGATTTTTAGCCCGTTTACAATTATTTAACACTTAGCCCGATTGATTTTATGGGCTCCCAAGCCCTAATCCACTGAAAGGAGGGTCGACCGCTGCTGTAAGCCTTAAACCCAGGGTCGACCTTAATTTTTGACTTGCATATATGACTGTTAAAATTATTATATACTAAAATTTATTTACACATATCAAGACATTAAAAAATTATAACAATAATTCAGAAGAATAAAATTATAATCTTATTACTTTATAATTTAACAAACTTCAGTTTACAACAAGAAAAAAAATCACCTAATTTACATATAAAAAAAATTTAAAATTTTATTTGTTAATTAAACTTGCATAATCTGCAAGGATCCTGTAGTTTTAAACTGTAAACTTAAATTAATTGAACTAGATCTTAATTATTTTTAAGCTCATTATCTTTGTTGTTCATTAGCCCATTAATACTATGAAAGTTATTATTAATTGTAAATTCCGAAAATTGGGCCCAAGCCTCAGGGCCGGGCCTGCTCAACTGTTCGGAATCATATGATATGACAAAAGGGAATTATGAATTGAATATAGCTGAAATCAAGTCTAGATTCGTGTGGCTGCTTCGGTGTTGAATACGGACAAACATGACATGTAATTTATTTCTCCTTTATTCAACTTTTTTTTTTTCTTTTCTTTCTTTTTGTCTGACTTTTCTGAATTAAATTTATTAGTAATCAATCAGGATCACCTGTCTTTTCTGTTAGAAATATTTAAAAATGTAAATAAATATATTAAATTTATTTAGTTTTTAACAAATTCTCGATGAGCAGTGCTAGCAAAATTCATAAAAATAAATTAAAATTTTTAAATTAATTTTGTTCTTTGTGTTTTTATTTTACATCCATATGCAGTTAAAATAAATTTATTTTCAATCAAAATGGATAATCGAAGGCTCAGCGCACCTTAATTAGTTTGTCCTGGGCTCATTAATTGGCCTTGGCCATCCCCATCACAAGTTACTATAATTTGTCTTCCTATGCCAAGCCAAGTTTAAGCTGCTAAAATTAAAAAAACTATGTCTATATATTTTTTTATATAATGAATGATATATATTTATGATCTTAAAAATAAATAATTCGAATAATTGAAATGAAATTCATAGTAAAATTTATTAGCCCGTCAAGTTCTTAAATTTTAAATTTGAAAAAATTCAAATGTGTAACTCAAATTTGCTATCTTCCTTTATAGATGATTTTAGACTAAATATTAAGAAGAAACTTTATTTTTATTAAGCCGTCATCAATAAAAAAGAATTTTTTTTTTCATAAGATGAATGAAAATTAATTTTTAGTTTTGAGATATCTATATATAATTATATATAAGAATCGCTTATCTGCTTAAGGTTTATCTTTTCTTTTGTCATTTCATTTTGAATAATTTACTAATGGTGGCTTATATGTTGAATAAAGATTTTTTCGTAATTACGCAAACATTCTTGGTCAATTATTCAACGTTTTATGCAATTACGTGAACATTCTTGGTTAATTATGAAACAGATTTTTTTCGTAATTACGCAAACATTCTTGGTCAATTATAAAACATAAATATTTTATTTTTAACAAATAATAAATACACCCATAAAGTTTGTTTAAAATATGAATCGGTCCTATAAATTATCAAAATTGATTATTGAAAAAAATTTCTCATATAATTAAAAACTGTTAATTTATTTAATGATTTATTTATTAACAAAATGGTTAATTGAAAAATATTTTTATTTAATAATTTACTTATTAAAAAAATTAGTCTTTTGTTATGCGAGTATGATTTATGTATTAATAAAATTAATCATTTGTATATATATGTATTTTCTTCTACTTCTTTATTAGTTCAGTGAATTATTTTAGTAAACTTTTTTATATGAGAAAATTGTCTTAGTATTTATTTTATATTTATCTATTGAGAAAAAGTATACACCATAATTTTTTTTATAAATTCAGAATAAATGTTAAAAACTCATAAATTCACTCAAAATAATATGGTAATAAAATTTCAATTTTATATTCTTATTTTTAAAAAATATTAAAATATTAAATTTAAACATATTGTAATATTATTTTATGCCTTAAACGATCCTTTTTAAACTAGTATGTATATATGTATATATGTATATATATATATATATATATATTATTGTTTGGCATAACATTTAAACCATTCAATTTGAAAGTGACACGCGATAGACAGAGGGTATTTGTGAAATTTGATAAGATGGTGAAAAGCCCCAAAGGTGCTCACGTAAGCCGCGGATGCAAGTTTTCTTTTTTCAAAAGATGTTTTGGAAAATTATTTTGAGAGAGAGTTTTGGAAAAAGTGATTGATTTGATGTGTGTGAGAGAAAGATTTGTTTGAAAAACTTGTAAACTAAACAAGTTTTAGAAAAAAATTTTGAGAAAATTTATTTAATTTAATTACTTTTGATTGAAAATTTATTTGTAGAGAATTTTTCTTAAAAAATTTTGAAAAACACAAACCAAACAAGATTGAAGTCTCTACATTCAGTTTTGACACCGAATATGGGCCTAAATTTCGTTTTCAGTACAAGTTGCCTTTATGTCTGTAACTTTTCCCCTACTTCTCCGTATATCATTGGTCATTACAACTCACCGTACAATCCCTAACCGGAGAGCAGATCAACATCTCCACAATATGGCCTTTGGCAACATGGTTTGTAGTCACTTTTTTTTAGTTAGTAGCAAAAGTTAAAAGTTGATTTTTTTGTCTTTTTTTTTCATTTGGGAGGTTGATTTTTAGCCAACGGTGAAATTACAATTTTATCCCTCATGGATCAAAATGTGTTACATATGTAAAGTTATAAATATTTTAAATAAATAAGGATAATTTGGTCATTTTACTATGATTTGACATCATAAACAAACATTAATCAAAAAAGTCAAAAGTCACTTTTTACAACTTCCCAAATCATTTGTCTAGAAAAAGCCAAAAACTTAATTAAAATCTAAAAAATCGCTTATTACCATCTTCCCAAAACAACCCTATATAAACCTCCGAAGAAGAAGAGACTTCACCTTATCAGAATCCGGCGAATTCCGAAAGATTTCACTTTCGGTTCACACACAGAAGAGAGAGAGAGAGAGAGAGAGAGAGAGAGAGAGTAAGAAATGGCGTCGTGGAATTCTGTGTATTTTTTTTATTTCCTTTTACTTTTTTAATACATTAATATTATTAGTGGTGATATTTTTAATAGGATGAATCATTGTTGTAACTGAAATGGTCTAACATACCCAAACACACGAAGTGTCTACATTCAGTTTGACACCGAATATGGACCTAAATTTCGTTTTTAGTACAAGTTTCCTTTATGTCTGTAACTTTTCCCCTACTTCTCCGTATATCATTGGTCATTACAACTCACCGTACAATCCCTAACCGGAGAGCAGATCAACATCTCCACAATATGGCCTTTGGCAACATGGTTTGTAGTCACTTTTTTTTAGTTAGTAGCAAAAGTTAAAAGTTGATTTTTTTGTCTTTTTTTTTCATTTGGGAGGTTGATTTTTAGCCAACGGTGAAATTACAATTTTATCCCTCATGGATCAAAATGTGTTACATATGTAAAGTTATAAATATTTTAAATAAATAAGGATAATTTGGTCATTTTACTATGATTTGACATCATAAACAAACATTAATCAAAAAAGTCAAAAGTCACTTTTTACAACTTCCCAAATCATTTGTCTAGAAAAAGCCAAAAACTTAATTAAAATCTAAAAAATCGCTTATTACCATCTTCCCAAAACAACCCTATATAAACCTCCGAAGAAGAAGAGACTTCACCTTATCAGAATCCGGCGAATTCCGAAAGATTTCACTTTCGGTTCACACACAGAAGAGAGAGAGAGAGAGAGAGAGAGAGAGAGAGAGTAAGAAATGGCGTCGTGGAATTCTGTTCAACTGGAAGTTCTATCGAACGTGTTGGGATGGTCTGCTTTCGTGGCTTGGTCCATCAGTTTTTATCCCCAAATCATCATGAATTTCCGAAGGAAAAGGTCACCCGATTCACTTTCTCTTCTCTCAATTTTCTCCATAGATTAGTCTCTAAAATTGTTTTCTTTTTCTTCTTGTTTTTTTGGGGGCAAAAACGCAGTGTGGTAGGACTGAATTTTGATTTTGTGGTGCTGAATTTGACGAAGCACTCTTCATATCTCATATACAATGCTTCCCTCTTCTTTAGCTCTGTTGTTCAGGATCAGTACCGCCAGAAATATGGACTCCACCAGGTTTCTACTCCTCATTATTATTATTATGTACATCTGTCTGTCTATCTATATTTGTGTATATTTTTGTGTGTTTGTGTTTGTTTCCTGAGAAAACGCTGACAATAGTAAATAATGCTTACTGAATTTTATATCACTGTTTTTCTAAAAAGAATGGTTTCTAGCCAAATTTTGGCGGGTTATCAAATCAGATCATTTTTATTTATTTATTTTTTTTTTCCGGACAAAACTTTTTCCTATAAAGAATCATGTTACGTGTGAATATATTGTGAGTGGGCAATATTGGTTTTGGACTTTTACGCTATGTTTGGTTGGAGAATTTGAGAAGGAAGTTAGAAAGGGAAAGGAAAAATGTAGTTGAAATTATGAATAAAATATATGTATATTTCACCTAATTTGATGTACTTTTTTTTTTTTCCCTTTTCCAAATCCCTTAACCAAATTTGGATGCAATGATTTTCAAAGACTCCACTACAAATTGGGAAACCTGAAGAAACTTAGGCCATTAGAGCATCTCCAACACTTCAACTTTTTTTTTATATATCAAATTTGTTCTGAATTTAGACCAAAAGTTTGATTTGATATAGCTCTGTTCAATGGTAATCAAAATTTTAATCAAATCTTTTAAAAATACATATCCTATCACAAAAATGTCCTTAACCAATTCAGGTGAAAAAACAGAAAAGAAAAGTCCAATTCTTCGTCTTTTAACAATTTCATCAAACTAAGGTGGAAAAAGGGTTGTGTTGGAAATTCGGTGAAAGATTTGATGAATATTTGGTGAAAACTTGATTTGATACAAGTTTGATGAATGATCTCATTTTCACCAAAATTTTCATCAAATTTTAATTTGATATGCATAGGCGGTGATTAAATGGCCCATAGCCTAAATTATATGTTTTTGACATATTTGTGATGATAGCTTCTTGCTGGATATGGTAAAAAAAAATGGAAAAAAATCATTCTAGTTTCATGGGTTGTCAATGAAGCAATGTGAGTGCAATTAATTAAAGCCAAACAAGTTCCTACTTTTCTGGTTTTTGTGACTAGTTCGGTCTGTAGTTGCATTAGGCTTTGCAATGGAATAATCTTAACTTCGATTGGAATATTGGTCTAATTACATTGACAGAACTGTTTGATGCTACACACTATCTTGTTCTTTTTGTTTGCGGAGAAAAATATTGTTCCGCCCAATTGTCTTGTACAAAGGGTTTAACTTGAATCATACAAGTTTAAGAAGGTTTTGTGTTATCAAAATTTATATCCTTGTCATTCCTATTGTAGATGATACCCGTAGCTGCCAACGATGTAGCTTTCTCGACACATGCTGTTCTAGTCACCGCATTTACCTTGTTCCAAATTGCAATTTATGATGTAAGTAGTTCATTCATCTTAACTAGTTTTGGCCTTGTTTGGATATTTTACTTTAGTTTGGAAAGCAGAAGTTTTGGTTTGGTTTTAACAAAATGAGTATTTTCATTTTTTTTCGATAAATGAAATGATTACTTCCAAATTTTTAGCCAAATAGTACCTTAATTTCTTACAAGTTATGGATTGAAGATATTGACATATGCATTAATATCATACTTGTATTGATGTTTTGTACAGCGTGGAAATCAGAAGGTCTCAAAGACTTGTATTGCAATTGTTTCTGTTGTGTGGTTAGCTGCTGCAGTTTGTGTGTTCGTAGCTTTGCCGAGCCATTCCTGGCTTTGGCTAGTCTCCTGTTTTAAGTAAGATATTCATTTGTATTCACTCCTGCATTTTCTCACTCCCCCTGGTAGGCAAAATATAGAAATAACAATAATGAATAATATCAAGAAACCTTTTGGCTATGATCAAGTTTTTAGCCTTGGATATCAATCTTTATGTGATTGGTTAGAAAGGAAGATATTGTTGTGGGTATTCATGATTACATGCAACAGGACCACTGTTATAGTGCTTAAAACTGGTCACATTTAAGTGTTTTTGGATCACTATATGATTCTCAAGTCAATTTGATTCACAATTCTCATAGGGTTGTTCTCTTGATCATCACACATTGTTCTAAAGTTTGATTACATGTTAACCAGTACAAAATTACTGTCTGACATTGTATAATTTCAATTGTGTTGCAGCACACTGCAGGTCACTATGACAGTCGTCAAATATATTCCTCAGGTTCAATCACTTCCCATTTGAGTTATATTTATGCTAGAGGAAAATTATTACTAATTGATGGCAGAAAGTGTTGCCACACACATCATAAACATTGCCCTCTCTGGGGGATTCCATCTGAGCACAAGCTGTATTTATTCATTTTTTATCCAGTTATCCCATTAGTAATCCAATTAATAATCTATTCATTTTTTTTCTTCAAATTTTTGGTGATGAGGGGTTGCTGAAGGGGGTAGTCACCTAAGCTTCCTGCAGATTTGAATTTCATACTTGTTGCACCCCCTCCACCAAGTGCAGTTTTGCTACCCAATGTAGTGGGTCTGTGTGGGAACTGAGAATGCTATCTAACTAATAACTATATAAAAGATAAGTCTTTTAAGTGAGGATAGGTCTTAGATAATGTGGCAAAGTAGTTGCACAGATTAGCAGTTTATGGAATTACACATGAAACTGCCTTCCTGTTAGACCAATAACCGGCTACTCACTTGACCAGAATCACGGCCTTAATTTCAGCTGTAACTGTGCTCTCTTACTGTTTCCCCATCAATGTGGTTATTTGTGCCCTTCTTGTTGAAAATATCAACTGATTGAGCTAAATTAACCTAACTCTGCAATGGTAGTCTGCTGCACATCAGTTATGTTGTTATACACATCCTTCAGTTGGTTCTTGTAGGAATGTTTGTAGTCATTCCTGAGATTGCAAAGCTCAATCTCATGTGGCTTACCAATTTTCTAAATAATTCAATCCAACTGCAAATGTGAGTCAGTTGCAAATGCAGAATAGGCACACAACATGTAAAGCTTTTTCTTAAATATTTACATCTTGCTCCATGAATCTTGTTAATAATTAACCATCCTTTTTTCTCCCCTCACTCCCCCTTTTGGCACCCATTAGTTTCATAGATAATGCTCATTTCCTGGTCCAAGTTCTATCTAATCTTGCCAGTCATTTATTGCCAACATCTTCATCCTCACTAAACTCATTCTCTGGAGTCTGGACATATTTTTGATTGCTCAACATATTTATATTTTTTTACCATAAAACTACCATTTGAATTCAGATTTGATATTTAAATAGATAGCTAGTGATGCCTAAGCAACTGTCCACTGAATACACGTACCTTACCTCTGTGTTAGTGAGCAGAAGTCTCTTATAAATGGTTCAGCTAAGAGAGAAAATTTGTTGTTGTTGATATTATCATTTTTAATTGCTCTCTTGCTTAGTGTTAACTAAGATAATGGGAGATATAAACTCTATCGATAGTTCACAGTGTTTCTGCTTGACTTGGAAGTTGCCATGATTTCTGTGGCATCATATTTAACATAGTTCCTTTTGTGTGTGAGACTGTTTTTTCTTGATCTGATTTCTAAGGATATGCTAGAATGGCTTTGATGCAATTTGAGAACATATTTTCCATGTCTTAATTTTGTCTACTTATAATCTGCTTCTAAATGCTTGATATCAGGTAACAATCTGCAAGTTTGCACTCTTCAGATAGTAAATTTTTATTTATTTATTATCTATTTCTGAATTATAGGCGGTTATGAACTTCCGGCGGAAGAGCACAGTTGGATTTAGTATTGGCAACATTTTACTTGATTTGCTTGGAGGGGTGGCAAATTATGGCCAGATGGCTGTGCTGTCTATTGATCAGAGTCTGTCATCTATACCATAAACTCATTATATATTGTCTTTTGCAGAGAAAAAAGATATTCCCATCTGAAATCATACATTGTGCCTAATCAAATATTTGACTCCGTTTCAGATTCCTGGGTGAACTTTTATGGAAATATAGGGAAGACATTGCTATCTTCGGTATGGAGCATTTTCCTCTTTCTCATAATTGCTATTTGTTATCCCCATGAAAGCATCACTCTTATCCTGTTGTCATAACACTTTTGGATAATATGGAAGATTTAAAACCACAATAAAGGAAGAAGACAAACAAAAATGAATATAAATTGATTGTGAAGTTCAGTTTTTTTAGCATCAAGATGAGTGACTACTGTATAGATTATTTATTTTATACACACTGTTATTATACTGCATTGATTTTGGTGGAATAAAAATTTGCAGGTGTCTATCTTCTTCGACCTACTATTTATCTTGCAACATTATGTGCTCTATCCGACCAAGAAAATGACCACCACTCCTAATCCTGATAAGGTAAGCCAGGAGCCACTTCTTAAATCTTCTGATGACACAAATTCAGAAAATGTGTAGCCATTTTGGCTTTGAATATCTTTATTGTAAACTAATGACACAAATTCAGAAAATGTGTAGCCATTAATTTTGGATCTGAATATTTTTATTGTAAAATTTAAAATTCCATGTGAAAATTCGTCTGATTTGCCCTCTTATATAATCCCCCGTCTGTATACAAAGGTACATCATAATGTGAAAATTTGTAGTGATTATGAACAGTACATTTAGCAAGAACCAGTTGTATTGAAAGATCAAATTAGCTATGAAGCTCTCTCTCTCTCTCAATTTAAGGCTGGTACTGTTGTTTAAATTTTATTTAAATGGTTGCTCCAATTACAGAAGTGTAGTTCTTGATTAGCCAAAGCAAGAGGGTTATCTTGTTAAGCATTTTCAGTGTGAATTACAGAAGTGTAATTCTGAGTTTTGTCGGGTTTGTTTTGCTTACTGTGATCCAAGTTGTGTACTGAAACATTATTGGAGCCTTTGATGTATATTGTGTTTCATCAATTGCTGAGAAATGTTGCAGATTTAATAGAACAGTGTTGGTTGTTGTAAACAGTCTGCATCCAAAGATTATTGGCTGCCGTGGTGTGCAGGAATAACTTCTCGTCTACTTCATCTGATCTGATCATATATTTGAATGTAGGTGGCTCAGGAACAACCTAGGGATCTCGAGGATTGTTGTTGACGCATGCTATGAACATGTTTTAAATGCAATTTTTTTTTTTTGGGGGGGGGTTGGGGGGAAGGGTTGACAGTACAACAACCTAGGGTAAAAAAAAAACCCCTAGCATCATCAAATAGTTGTGCTGAAAATACAAGAAGGAGAAAAATGATAAACAAAAATCTTTCTGAAATGCTGCTTCATTGATTGGCAAGAATGTCCGCAGAAGCATTTGCTGCCCCCATATGTATGATTAATTGATCTCATTGGAAGTTGTTGCTTGAGGTACCTCCAATCAAAGAAGAAAATCATTAGTCTTACCCAAGATGAGGAGTTTAACAAGTTGTGCATCCGTTTCTACTTTAAGATTGACAAGGTTCCGCTCCATTGCAAGATTCAACCCATCTCTCTAGGCTCAATACTAGAAGAAAATAAAATATCTTTGTGATAAATGCAAATTTATAAGCAGTGTTCTCAGGCATTTGATGTTAGCCAGCTTTGTCAATTATGTTTCAATTTTTTATTTTTTAATATTTTTATCAAAAAAGAAAATGAAAATGAAAATGAAAAAAAAATAAATAAATGATAGAGTTGTTTAAATTGTTCACCACAAGTAATTGGACGAAGGCTCACAGAGTTTCCAAATTCTTTTACCCTCGAGTTACAGTTGAAGCATTATTGGGTTGTTTAGGCAACGTATTAAAATAAAGAAATTGACTGCTAAATAAAATAAAATAAAAAAGGATTGGAAAAAATTTTAGCCAATTGAAAAAGATGGATGCTATGTTTGTTAGTAAATCAGAGAACATCAGGCTTCCAGAATTATGAATTTGGAAGTAATTAGAGAATATTAATGAATCGACAATGCTAGGTAGCTCAAATTTTTGTGGCTCAAATGGCTCAAATCTGTCAAAACGACGTCGTTTTGACAATTATCAAGGACAAAGCATGAAAAAATAAAAATTGACTAAAAAACATGCCTTACACAGTGTAAGTCACTTTTACCGAGATCTGAGATGCACTCTGCTATGACTTTCTGTAGAATTTATTTATCTATTTTCACAATTCGAATAACTTATTTTGTAAATTTTAAAATGGACAAATTATACTGACAGTTTCGATAGTTTGGGACTTGTTTAATTTCTGATTTTTTAATTGTGATACATTTAATTCTGAATTCTGAATATTCTCAAAATATGTTTCATTTGCAAATGGTCAATTTCAAAGGCAAAGTCATCATATAACTTCTTTTATATTGATTAATTTGTATGTTGTTTGAAATGTAATGACATTTTTTTAATGAATAATGTTGAAACTTTTTAAATTATAAAGTTATGTTTGGTTTGGTTTTTAGAATTTATTTTCAATTTTTTTTTTCTAAGAAACTAAAAATTAAATTGGTGAAAACAATTAAAAACAATTCATTTTTATATAATTTTATCTTTTAGAAAGATAGAAATTAATTTTTAAATTAATTTTTTTGATATTTATTTTCCTTAAATTAGTTTCTATTTTTTCAAAAGTTAAACATGGCAACGACTTTGATGTCATTATTAAACCAATTCATTAAATTAAAAAATCAAAAACATTTCATATATTAAAATACCGATTACATATTAAAAGTCTAATAACCATCCATTATATGATAATCATCTAAGAATATCTGGTAACAACAAATACAACCATCTACTACATGATAACCGTAGAAAATCGTCAATAAAAACAATCACTTATTACATGATTATTATCTAAACACATTAAAAATTAATTTGATAAAAAAATATGTAAAATATTTATCATTTTTATATAATTTTATCTTTGGTGAGTATAATTTTAAAAAATTCAAAATATTTTTTTGACATTTATTTTTGTCAAACTAGTTTATATTTTACCAAATTGACGACTTTGCCTTTAAAATTGAACTATAATATTTTCAATTATCCTTCTTTGAAAGGAGATTCAAAATTCATGATCAAATATATCAATTAAAAAGTCAGAGATCAAAATGACATAAGCCTCATAAAAAGACCATTATTGTAATTCACCGTTTTAAAATAGATTTTTTATATTAAAAAATTAAATTCATCAAATATTTATAATCAATCAAATATTATAAAAATTAAATAAATAATTTACTTTCAAAACCTAATTTATCATTTATTTTTTAAAAATAAATATGGTTCAACAGTATAATTACTAAAGACGCGGCCGTACATATGTTTTGAACCAATCTTCGTTGGGTCCAATTAGAATAGGGAAAATACTAGAAATTTTAAAAAAAAATTTAAAGTTTTTACTACATGTCTCCGGTACGAGTGACATGGTGTGATCCTACACTTATATGAGTTACATTTATATGAAAATTTTAAAGTTTTGTTTGACATAATCTATTTTAGTCCATCTTTTTATTTTTTTTGGATCACATTAATCAACACATTTTGTCTATTTTTTTACACATCCTTTTATAAAAAGTCAAAAAATATACTTATTTAGAACATCTTAAACCACTTAATTTTTTAAAGTCTCTAACATGTCATTGTCTTGCCTGTTTGCCTCTTAGGGTTCGTTTGAATATGAGTTAACTTTTTGACTATTTTAGGCATCGTTTAGCAAGTAGTTGTTTTAGTTTAAAAGTCAAAAAGCTATTAAAAAAATTAAAAAGTTTATAACCTATACCAAAAAGTTAAATATTCATTTTTCTTTTTATTTTTTTCACATCTTTTTGTAAAAAGTCAAAAAATACCCCAAACATACTAGTTTTTTTTAACTCATATTTTAGCTAAAAAGTCAAAAAATTACTAAAATAACATGTTCCTATACGAGGCCTTTGAGGTCATTTGAGATAAATTTTTTGACTTTTATGAGAAAAAAAATAAAATGATTACGGATTGGATGTGACTTTTTGTCTTATTTGACTAAAATAGCTTATTTTGTCATATATGGTTATTTTAGTCCAGATGCACATTCCAAACGAGACTTAAATGTGGAAGAATTTAGAGAGTGTATGAGATGATCTAAATAAATATATTTTCTTATTTTTTATAAAAAGATATGTAAAAAAATAGAGAAGTGATATAACTTAAAAAAATAAAAAGTGTGTTAATATAGGAGATGTCAAATAGTGCCTTAGGTTTCGTTTGAAAACATACTACTTTAATAATTTTTTGACATTTTATAAAAAAAAATAAAAAATAAAAAAAATAATGTAATAATTTATAATAATTTTTTGATTTTCTAACTAAAATATAACGAGCTCTAATGTGTGTGGATAGGTGTTGTGCCTCTTGTGGCTGCTCAAGCATCTGTTTTTATTCTAGTCAATGTTTGCAACTCTTGTATGTTTTCTGGGTTTTTTCCCATAGCAAAAAACAAAAAAATAAAAAGCTGTTAAAATAATAGATAGATGGGTTGTCTCCAACGCTATTAAACTTGGCTAACACGTACCTACCATTTGACCAATTCAACACCGTGCTTCCCAAGTTTTCCAAAAGGTTTGGAATCTTTCGGAGTCGAGAGAAAGTGCATAGGCATTCCAACATAACCCAACTCTCTCTTTCTATATAAGAGAGAAACACCCAAACTCCTCACTATCAATTCAGCCTTCCAAACAAAGACAAAAGATGAGGAGAGAGGGTCGCCAACACGGTATGGTTCGGAGCTACCCAGTCTTGCCAATGAACACGAAGCCCGAATCCAGATTACGACTCAACCAGTTCGATTCGCCCCCGACAGCCGGGATGTTCACCAAGGTTGCACCAAAGCCCACTAACCACTCCAGGTTCACGGGCAAGTGTGGCCGGCCCAGGTGCCGTGGGTGTCATCAACACCCGGCTTCCAAGTCCATCAACAAGACCAAGGCCACCCATAAGCTCCGCTCCGCCAATTTGGTCTCTAATTGTCGGTTAGCTACTTGGCGAGTCGTGGATGCTAAACCCGGCTTGAATTTTCCCGGGTTTTCGGTTAGTCGAGTATTGGATCATTTGGATAATAATGATTATTGGGATGAGGATGATGATGATGATTGTGAGGATGAAGCCTATGCGGAGGGCTCGTGTGAGTTCGGCTCATCGTGATTTGTGATCGGGAGCCGTTGAAATTATTAAGGATGATGAAGATCAGGACCGTGAAAATGAGGGTGACGAGGAAAGTGAGGTTACTACGAGCTTTTGTGATGTGGGACTTGTGTGGGAACGGGTTGACGAAGGTGAAGGTTGGTGTTTGATTGTGTGTGAAATGCAGTTCTTTCTTTGGTTAGGACTTTCTTATTTGTATTCCCATTTGTCAATGACACCATCTGTACAATTGTTGAGATTCCCAATTATGCAGTTACAGATAAAATTATTCAGACTGTTAGCTAAATTTGTATCAATTTCAAAATAAAATATCATTAAAGATAAATTTATTTATAATAATAATATTATTATTGTAAATTTTTTTCCTATGAATTTTTTGTATAGTTTTTCTTTCTATTTTAATATTAAAGACTCCAAGTTAATGTCCCGTTGAAGATCATCTATCTTACAATTAGTGCTTTGTCTCATCACTTCAGTCTGGAGATTTTGAAAAAAAATAAATTGTATAAGGTATAATATTGTTGTTAGTATGGTATAATTTATAATTTGCAAAGATATTTGTTGGGCACGCAATGGTAAAAGATGAAAATTAGAATGGAGTATTTGAAACATTAATACATACATACATGTAATGATATGTTTATCAAAATTTTCAAAACACATGCAATCTTATGAGAATTGTTTCAGCATAATTTTTTTTTTTCATTATGTTGTTCACCTTTTATTACCATCTTCTCCCTAATTGCGAGAAAAGCACACAAAGGCCAACAAGAATTATAAAATCGATGACATAAAAAAATATGACAATTTCTTTTAATTTAAAGACTATTTGGCATGACCTAAAAAAACTTACTTTTTATGAATTATACCATTTTTTTATTTTTCTGTATATTTTTTTTGTAAAAAATAAAAAAATATACTTATTTAAATTATTTCAAACACCATATATGAGAGGGGGATTTATAGACAAAAAGATGCAAAACAAGGGTAAGCTAACCATAGTATGATTAGATAGATGATGGACTAAAGCAAGGAATGTAGGTCACATTTCCATGTCTAACTCTTAGGCCTCGTTTGGAAACATATTTTTTTAGTAATTTTTTAATTTTTTGGTTAAAATATGATATTAAAAAAAAAAAAACTAATATGTTTGGGATGACTTTTTGATTTTTTATGAAAATATGTACAAAAAGTAGAGAGAAAATGAAATTTTTGATTTTTTGGTATATGTTGTTCGCTTTTTGATTTTTTTAGTGACTTTTTAGCTTTTAGACTAAAAAGTGATATTACCAAACAAGGCCTTAGATTGCATTTGATTGAGAGATTTGAGAAGAGATTTAAAAAGGAAAAGGAAAAATGTGTGTAAAATTAAGTGAAATGTTTGTATATTTTATTCACATTTCACCTATTTTTTTCCTTTCTTGAGAGGGTAATTTGTGCGCAAATTGGGCCGAGATAAGTGAGCCCGTGGGATTGAGCTGACATAGGTGTGTTCAGGGGCTGAGCCATGGATTAAAGTAATTATTTCGGAAGCTTTGGTCATGGTAGTTCGGTCAGGGCTTGGCTATTAGAGTCCGGTCTAGCAGTCGCGGCGAAGGTACTTGCTTGAGTTAAACTGAGCTAAAGATAGGTCGGCAGGGCAACTCCAGAGACCTAGTTGACTGAGATTAGCTTGTTCAACACCGAGCTGTGTGAGCAGGGTTATGCTTTCTGCCAACCAAAGTAAGAGTTGATGTTATCTCATTTTGATAGACAGTGAGTAGGGTGTTATCATGATATGCATCATCCTTGGAAAAGTAATTCCTAGGAGAACTCAGCTAAGGAGCGTTAGAGTCCTACTAGGATTGTGCCAGGGATTTGTGATTCTTAGGAGGGCTCTACTAAAGAGAATCGGAGTCCAACTAGGATTGTGCCAGGTGAAATCTATAAAAGCTCATGACAGGACCAATATACAGGTATTACAATTTTTACTCTAGAATACACAGAGCTTTTGTGTCTATTGTCTATTTGCTCACTTAGGCATTGGAGAGGTTTCCAGCACACACCCGTTGGCTAGCTCACGTTTGTGTTTTCAGGGTGATTCTTAGGAGGGCTCTACTAAGGAGAATTGGAGTCCTACTAGGATTGTGCCAGGTGGAATCTATAAGTAGGGTGTTATCATGATATGCATCATCCTTGGAAAAGTAATTCCTAGGAGGACTCAGCTAAGGAGCGTTAGAGTCCTACTAGGATTGTGCCAGGGATTTGTGATTCTTAGGAGGGCTCTACTAAAGAGAATTGGAGTCCAACTAGGATTGTGCCAGGTGGAATCTATAAAAGCTCATGACAGGACCAATATACAGGTATTACAATTTTTACTCTAGAATACACAGAGCTTTTGTGTCTATTGTCTATTTGCTCACTTAGGCATTGGAGAGGTTTCCAGCACACATCCGTTGGCTAGCTCACGTTTGTGTTTTCAGGAAGTAAAACGACGACATTTGGAAGAGCTCAAACTTGATCAACAGGATTATACGAGAAGATTATTTCGTGCTCGTACAATGGGCGTCGTTTGTGGGAATTGCACAAAGAACAAAACCTTTTGATCAAGTTTTCCTCTCTAGTTGAAATCAATGACGCACAATGAAGACTTGCTGCAATCGGCTATTGATGGGCAAAACCTCGGAGGGGGATGGGAGGCGCGAAGGTTTACCTTCTATCCCATCTATGGCAGAATTAGAACCTCAGTGACGGAACTCCCGAAGGGACACACGGGAGAGACGAGGCACTAGTCCCCGTCACTCTCAAAGTCTTCAAAGACAGAAGCGGAGGTTGGATCCTCAAGTTCTAGAGGATCGTGTGAGAGAGCAAGACGAGTTAATCAGGAGGATGACGGCAGACATGGAGACAATGAAGCGCTAGATAAAGGAAAAATGGGTGGTGACAGAAGAGGGGCACAAAGGCAACACTCCCTCTTACCACTCGGAAGATCGTGAAAGACATGTCACACTATTGTAAGCAGAAAGTAGGAGCCTTAGAACAGGTGACACTCAATTACGGACTTTCAGGACTCGTTACTCTAGGTCTGAGAGAACGAGGACTGAAAGGTCGTATACAGAGGGAAGTAGCTATTGGCCCTCGCACACGCACCAAACGACATCTAGGCACACATAGTTGCCTAGGTCAGCAGACCTGCGAACAGTGCTCGAGGAGAGGGCCCGATGAAAGGAGGAAACCAGGGCACGCGACCCTCGCAGAGTTTCAGCCCTACAGTGATTGGCCCTTAGGACACATGGGAGTGTTGAGGTAGTGATGCCAATGTCGCGCCTTGCTTATGAACCAGCAGATAAAGTATTAGCAAGGTTACAGAGCTCGCCGTTTGTCCCAGCAATTGAGAACGCACTACTACCCTAAAGCTTCCACCAATCCAAATTCACCACTTATGAGGGAAAGTCAGACCCCCACATGCACTTAAGCCACTTTCGCCAGGTTATGGCAGTATACCAGCGAAACGAAGCGCTAATGTGTATCCTGTTTCCATTTAGCCTTGGCGACCTAGGTCTGACTTGGTTCGAAAGATTGCCAGAAGGCGGCATAACCTCATAGGCACAATTGGCAGAAGCGTTTGTGACTAGATTCAGAACGAATACCAAGACACCAGTGGAGATTGACCAGCTACTTTCCATTGATATGGGCAAAAAGGAGACATTAAGGTCTTACAACAGTCGATACTAGGAGACTTTCAACCAGATTGGGGATTGCCCTACAAATCTCGCCATCACACAATACAAATGGGGTTTACCAGTCGGTAACAAATTGAGGGACTCAATGGCAATGATGTCATCCCTCACGATGGAGGCCCTAATGAAGAGAGTGCATCAACATATCCGAGTATAGGAAGATAGTGCCCGTGCTAAAGAAAAATCTGGCGCAACAGTGATGCCAGATAAAAAGACTACAGCAAAAAATTAACACGGTAGAACAACCAAGCAAGAATGGGCGAGGCAGGCGAGCCAACAGAGAGGACCTAGAAAAAAAGAAGTTAAGAGTCCCCATTGCCATTACCATAGTATTCAATAAACCTATCTACCGGATTCTTAGCGAGATATGTGATGAACCCTTCGTTCGGCGGCCAGCCAAGTTGGGAGAAGCACAAAGAGGCTATTATGAGAGGTCCCATTGCACCTTCCATGATGAGAAGGGGCACCGTACTGAATTTGCACACCATTGAGGCAACATCTGGAGGAGTTAGTGGCTGCTAGATACCTGGACCAGTATATAGAAAGGGGAACATAGCTAGCCCCCCAAGACCCCAACAGACCAAACGGGATGCCGATCGACGGTCCACCCCAAGGCATAATCAACGCTATACATGGGATCGTTGAACCTAAGCGGGTATGTGAGCTCAGGGGGATGATAAAAAAGGCTGAGCACTTGAGAGAGGTATTAAGTGCACAACCTACCGTCAAAAAAGGTAAAACAAAGGCCACGAACTGTAACAACCCCAACTCATGATTAACGCTAATTCATGTTTAAGTATGCCAAATAAGTAATTAAGAAGAAATCCTGAGTTAATTATATGTGCATTGCATCATTTTGTGTTTATATCTGTTTGACGTAGAAAAATCTATTCATGTTTTAGTTTCGATTTGCGAATTGAAGGCCTTATCGACAACCGATTCAGAAATTGACTTAATTTATATGTTAATTAGGATTTATAGAATTTTATGGTAAGTTTAATTAAAATTTGATTTGGAACAATTAAATTAAAATAAATGATGATACTTAACTTAGCTTAAGCCAATTACTTAAATGCTACTAAGTGGGCTTATGCAAGACCATTTCTACTCTTTTATACATGTTTTTGACATTTACTTCCCACCTTTAAGCACCAACGTGTGTGTGTGTGTGCGCGCGTGAGAGAGAGAGAGAGAGAGAGAGAGAGAGAATTAAGATCATCAAGGGAATTGTTAGAGTTTGAAGAAATTAGCTTGGAATTCAAAGGTTTGGCTTGGGAATCTTAGTGAATTCATCACCTAGAGCTTAATTGAGAAGTTGAGGTAAGGAATCAACACTTAGACAACATAATTATGATATCTAAGACTTGAATTCAAAAGGATTAAGTTGAGCTTTGCAAGAGTTGAGCTAGTGATGTAGAGAAGATGAACTTTTTATACATGCATGCATAATTCATGGATTTTAAGTGTTGTTTTCAACAAATTCTCACATGCAAGGACCTATTTCGGTCCAATTATGGGAGCTCATTGTGGTTTTTCACTTTAACACTTCATTTGTTCATGTTTTGCAAGGTTTGAGTTCATACCAACCTATGCATGTTATGTATACATATTGTTCAAGTTTGGTTTTGAAGAATTCAC